ATGTTTAATGAAATAATAAAGTGATGTATAGTCTTTAATTATAGATAGGAGATCAAATTTATAATATTTATAGTTCCACCATTATTCATTATAATTATCACAGATAAATATTAAACTTCGAAATAGATAATATTTTGATATTATATTTCGAAATAGATGTCAATGGAGATAAACGAAGCATATCTACGATTAATAATTAAGCAAATTCTTTCAAATTTTATATAAAAAATAAATATTCTTATAAAAATCATTCGAAAATATATGTCGAATAAATAAGACTACGAGAGGAAAATATAAATAATATCCACAATACACTCATTACCTATTTCCATATGCTATGTACAAACAATTCTTAAACCATATAATCTAAATCCATTTCCCAAGAGAATACATACAGTAAAAATATGAATGTATAGAAAATTATTATTAATAAGATTATTAATAAGATTATTAATAAACAAAACATTTACGACGATTCTAACAGCTAAAATAAAAATAAAAACAATCACAATAATAGATAAAAGAACTTGTTATATAATAACATTTATAATTCATGGTTATGAGTTTTTTAATTTGTATTTATAAGCCACGTATAAAAATAATTGTTTAAATATAGTAGAAATATTAATTTTTTATACCTAATGTAGCAAAGAACCAATAATGATAAAATATCAATAATGGACAAATAAATCATTTTTTTTATTTACCTGGACAGGGAGTGAACTGAAATACCATATGTGATCATTGAAAATGATAGCACAAACTAGAAATATATTTTCAAAATTTTCTATACAAATATTATTTTTAATATAATTGGTAAAGTAATAATTATCATATTAATTTTAAAATTAAATCATTATTTTAATATATTTAAATATATAATTTGATTAATTTTTTAATTTGAAACTGAATAAAAATGATGTTATTCATCTGTATAAAAATCTGTCAATATAAATATTGGATATATAAGTATAGTTTTATAAACAATTTTATAAAAATAATCCATTTAAAAAATATGGTAATAAGTGTTCAATATTAATACGCATTATCAAAAGAAAATATATTCATAAAATGATTTTTATTATTATATTCAGAAACAAGCAAATGTACTAGCCATATATTATGTATGCAAAATATGTATAAAATAAATGTTATATGAGATTTAACACCTTTCAAAAGAATTAAATTTCGCAGATACATCTGACAGAAATTATAATAAATGTTTTTTAATAATTATCAAATTAATGAAAAAATTTTGTTCAAGTTAATAGTAGTTAAAAAAAAAATCTTTTTTTATAAAAAAATTTACAAAAGAATTATATCGAGTAATCAAAATTTCTTAAATTTTTCTTCAAAAGTTATTTATAAAAACTTCAATAATTATAAAAACGGCAATCGAAGTTTTCTAAGAATTAATTTTTTACAATTAAACATATCGTACATTAAATGATACATAAAAAATGGAAGCTAGAAACTTTGAAGGAATATATAATGTTTGTGATTTTCAAATCCAATTCGGTAACTCAATTCGAATGGAATATTTTAATATTTTGAAGGAAACTTTAAATAGTCGTTAATTAATATTAAGATATAAGGCAAAAGTTTCAGTTAGACAAACAAAGTAATATCTACTTTAATATCAAATACATTTTAATTAAATATTTGAAGTTTAAAGTAAAATGAATGTAATATAAGGTTGAAAAATTAATCAAATACTACTTTCGTATCTTAATAAATTTTTATAACGATTTTATTTTATTGAAAATACAATTAATAGTTTACATATTCCTACAAATGTAACAGATTTAAAATCCTTTAGAGAATAGAGAAAGCATTTATGATAAAATTTTTTATACTTATCATATCTGCTATCAATTAATTACTAAGTTCAAATGAAATGAATAAATATTGTATTGGAATTGCTCGATAATAATTTTGACAAAATACTTACTAGAAAACATCTTCTTAGCTTTTTTTCAATCAATGGAATAGCCGTACCTTTCATTCGCTCAAAAAAAAAAAAAAAAAAAGAAAAAAAGAAAAAGAAACGAAATAAATGAAAGTGAGTAAAACAGATGACTATGAACGGCTTATAGTTCACGGATTATGAAGATTAATTAACTGTGGGAGTTCGTCGAGGCTTTAAATTGAATCTTTGAAGTACTAGGCTGCTACTTCTGATTAATGCCTTCAAGCATCGAGCGCATCTCCTTATTCTTTTGGTTCGTCTAAGCCTTAATATTCGTCTTTTATCTTTCTCGATTTTCCGCAAGCAGTAATGAAGTAAGAATATATCGAAGATCAGTCCACTCGATTACATAGCATAAAATTTATTATTCTCAATTCTCCTCTTGGACTTTATTTGCATTTCATTATTATTTTTCGAGATATAGAACGATTTTCATATATTGAACCATTAAAGAATTCTTAAGATTTTTATCGAATATTATATTTAAAAATGCTAGAGCTGTTCGAAAAATACAATTTCTTCATTCGTCATATATTTGCATAAAAATATTGTTCCCGTTCTTTTTCAATATTATTATTATAACTGCTACTAATATTTAAAAAACAGAATTTACCATACTTTGCAATAATTAAAAGTTAATAATTCTTATTAATATCAAAACTATCATTTTTAATTAATATTAATTCTTGAGTGAAATATAAGATTAGTTTATAATAAGTGAGAACGTGTCTTCAAAATTATCATTCTAACGTTCTTTTATTGATACGAATATTTATTATTCTAATCTAATCTCATTTAATTAGATGATTTATATTATTATATGTATTACGCATACATTCTTTTAGGATAAAATAATACACAATGAAAAAATCACTATCAAATGCATTGACTGATACTCGATATTTCAACTTCTACATCAAGTTCTTTTATCGATATAAGAGGTAAACAAGGATATAATAAAAATGCTGGTAAAAAAAAAACACAAAAATATTGTTTTTATTTTTGGAATTATTTATAAAACTTTTAACAATACTGGCATATGATTTATTAATTGAAATTATGCAAAGGTATAATAATACGACTGACTAAATATAAATTTATTATTATTTTTATGAAATATTTTTTTTAAATTATTACATGAAAAAATAATTATATCTCATAAAAGCAATAAAAATTGACTTTACATTGTTAATATTAAAATAATAATTTCCAATATTACCAACAGTATCTGATTTTATATTGAAATATATGCAATATATTTTGTCTATTATCATATAAAATGAATTATATTCGAAATTTACGGTTAATATTGATATGTTAAAAATACATTTTTTATAGAAGCTTCGTTTCGCAATTTCAATTAAATGTTATTCAAATTAATCTATAGTAAGAATCAGTCTTTAATTTATTTATACGTGATCGTTACGATTTATTTATTAAAAACAGTTAAGAAAATCAATCGAACTATATGAATTATAATATATAAATAAATAAATAAATAAATAAATTTCAAATCGAATTCAAATGTCAATATGAGTATATTGGTTAGAAGCCGTAATATACCATTTTTATAATAAAATAAAAGGTCATTACATTCAAATGAAATAAAATCAAGATATTACAAGCCATTATTTATTTTTTCAAACTGATTAAAAAATATTATCTCATAAATTTAGCTCTATATATTACGAATGTAAGTTGTAAAATACTCTAAAAACAGACTATCTACGATGTCATTTCACATTAAAAGATCTTTATGTATACACGAATATTTTTCTCTTTAACTGTGTAAAAGCTTTAATAATATTTTTCATATAACAGAATATTTTAATATCTATTCGAGTTTCGTCCAGAAAGAATATACCTTAAAGCTGAATATAATAACGAGAATCATCGTCCTGATTTCATAAGAATTTAAATATCTTGAAATAAAAATGTTTCGTCTTTGGTTGTTTTCTTCCCACGGTGAACTGTCGCATGCTTTCATTCTGATTTGTTGGTCTTTATTATTGTACAGAATAAAATTATATTAAATAACAAATGGCACGTTAAATAAATTATTATTTTATTATTTTGACATAAAAATTTTATAACGATTATCATGTTTACTCCGAGTTGTATAAATATATATATATATTTTTTTTTTTAATAATCTGCAAGACATTATTATTTTGATTAGTTAAGCCGTACGAATTTTAAATAGCCAATGAAAATAAAAAATTTAATTCATCTATGTCGCTTAGTAATTTCAGTCATTCGAAGCTTATGACATGATACTTTTTAGTAAGTAAAAAAAAAAGGATAGAAAAAACTAAAGTTATCGAAATAAAGAACTCCTACAAAAAGTGCAAGCAACGAGGAGAATTAATCAAATTTTCTCATCAGAAAGTTTTCACTATATATTTGTTTCCCTTTCTCTCACTCTCATTCTTCTCTGTAATCTTTTCTTTCTTATTCGAGAGTTTATTTTTGTATCGTTCTTTCAATTTTTACAGAGCTTGTAAAGTTCAGTTTCTATGTAATTGTTAAGTTCTATCTAATTAGATTGAATATCTTATTAAACGCCAGTAAAATATTTGAGAAGATAACAAGTTTATGCACGCGTGTATGCGTGTATGCGAAAGAGAGAAATAGCAAGAGCCAAGGTGCGTAAAAGAAAGATAGAGATAGGAATGAAACAAAAGAATATATAACGCACCGAGCAAACAAAGATGTCCATCGCTTCTAATTTACGTTCGTCGTCGTATTTTGCCATTCACTTTTGATTTCAACACTTCAAGCAACACCCACCAATATTTCAAAGTATCGTTACTCTTATTTTCAGTTTTTATAATACGCAGAGATAAAGGTGTAAAGAACAAGTGAGTAGGAGTGAGAGAAGAAAGTGTAGAAAAGAAAGGAGGAGGGCATACGCAAAGGAAAAGATTCCGAAGGAATTTGATAATTTCTCAGAGAGCAATTCGGCATTTTCTCCGAGATTAGATGCGAGTGGCTTAAACAAAGTGAGTAGGACTGTAACGACGGAGAGAGAGAGAGAGAGAGAGAGAGAGAGCGCGATATATCGGACATGACGTCGTTCAGTGGGAATGACAGTTGACACAAGAGGTTAGTTGGCTCCTTTACTTTCTCGATTTCTTTTCTCGACTTTTACCGTAACCTCTAAATGCTCCATACCTTTTCCTTCTGTACTATCACTATTCAGTTTTTATCGCAGGCTCAACTCAACTGCGTGATCCCATTTTTTTCATCTCGACGCCTTTTTCTTCTGTGGTTTTCTCAGCACTCATACTTCCAACGTCGCACACAGAGCTAAAGTTATGCGCCGGTAGGGAACGATTCAGGAAACATTTCCAATTTCAGATAAAATTCACGGGAAATTTGCCGAGAAATAACGATCGAGAAAAGGTTTTCTTTATTTCCTTGCATGTCTTAATGAGCTCGCGTGAGCTTGAAAGTATATAGCGTAAAGCCGTGGGGTAAAGTTTAAAATGAAGTTTTTAATGATTTATTTGGATATTTCATTAAAATAATGAATATACAAGAACGCTGGATGTAACTTATTTACACGTGCGATTAAAAATATTCACTTTTAATATCACACGGTTTTACATTAATTTTTTTTTTTTTTTTTTAAATGCTTATAATACATTAGTAAAAGGGCCAAAATATAAGAATCAGTCGATATAATAATTCTAATACTTTGCTTATTGATGTAGAACTAAATTTTCTTTTTGATTGTCAAAATAAAAAATAATGAATCAATAAGTTTTGTGAAATAAACTGTAACAATCCAATATCTATGGGATATTCTGCGAATAATCCATAGTATATTTCATATATTAAGGGTATAAAATTACCATTCAAATGAACTATTATGAATAAATTTTTAAATTTTTTAATTTAAAGTCTAACTTATTAATACTAAGTTTGCCAAATTTGAATCGTCTTTTCGCGTAAATAAATGATCAAAATTCCATAATTATCTCCAAGAAAGTGTACCCGCCCTATATACAATAAGTCGCTTAGTTATTATTTTAACAAGTTCATAAAATACATTACAGATATTATAGGCATTAATAAGTTAAAACTATAACTAATCAGATTAAAGGATCTTTTCAGGCAATAAGTTTTAACAGTTAAATTCTAATTTTCGTTATTCTACGAAACAATTGATAATTAATTATTAGATAATTAAATCCCCGCTGGTAATTATATTTTAACTTACATCAACAAAAATTGAATAAACTAAATATTAGTGTCATTATGTAAATTAAATAATAAAATTGAAATGTTGAGGTCGTTATTTCTATTTTAATGACAATATAAAGCCATCTTAAGTACTCGGACTATTGTACAATAAATAACTTTTATTGCCTTAGTTGATAGATAGATATTCTTGCTTAATATACATTGACACCTAAAATTGTAAAGAGTTTAAGTTGAATAATAAATAGCTGAAATGTAAAATCCATGATAATGAACGATTGTAAAGGTATTATTACTTTAAGAATTTAAAATTATATCAATAAAATATGGATAAATTTGTTGTATAGATTTTGTATTGAGAAAAGGGTTAAAGTGGAGCGAATGTATTATGTAAAATGTTAAAAATTAATATTAAAAATCAATATTCGTGAGTATATAAATAAAAAGTAAATATATGCAAATAACAACACAATAAAACGTTTTAAATATTATGTATTTATAATAATTATTTTTAAAATATTTATCGGTCAATACAAAACTGACTTTAATTGTATCGTTTCTTTTTTCCTCATTTTTTTTTTTTTAATTTTCTTTTAGATAATTAATATTATAGCATATTATTATATAGTAATTATCTCTAGCTGATAATCGATATTTTTAATGCAATAATATTGATTTATAAACATAGATTTGTAAATTTCCTTATAAATTTACATACTTTGTTGGTCTATTCTGTATTCCAATAATTGGATATTTGAGTTTATCCAATTTAATTATCATTACAATCATGGTTTTAATGGATAAAGATATTATTTGGTAGTATTCCTATAGTTGATGTATTTATAATACGTAATTAACTCAGTAGTTGGTACTTTATTGATACGCTTATACATTGCTTCCGTCTTTAATAATTATTCTCATTATTAATTGTATAACTTTCACTCTATCATAAATTTACACCATTTAGAATTACTGTTACCTTGGCTATGCTCGTTAGTTATATATATATATATATATATATATATATATTTGTTTTTAATAGTATATTTAACGAGTAAATTAGAAACGAGGTGAAGTGAATTTAACAAATATTTTATTTTAACACACAATACATAGATATGAATCATGAAATCTACTATATCGTTTCTTCACGCAACATACATTTTATGATATATAATTTATATTTTACATTAATTTGTTCTAACTTACCAAAATTTTCTACATTATTTTACGGACAATAATTTTTTTTCTTCAGTAAATTATGAAAATTATCAAGGTATCTGTAGTTTCTCTTGAAATCATGTTTTTAAGTTCTAAAAATTTAAAAATTGTCTTCCTTAATATTGCTAAGCGTAATTAGTCATTCTATAATAATAATAATAATAATAATAGTAACTAAAATTTATTAAAATAAATATTTATAATAAATTAAACGTGAGTTCGTTAATAGTTGAGGCTGAATAATTTTAATTTATTAATCTTAAGGAGCTGTTCGAAAGTTGTGTAGTGGTGATGTAATTCTTGGCTCCAACTGCCAATGCTTCAATAGCTTAGTTTGCCGTCCTCCCTAGCAGACGCCCGAGAAATTATTAGGTGGAAGGGCTGTACAAGAGTCGTGAGAGTTGGTTAATTATATATTTATTATATAATTTATTACACTATTTACATATGGGTGTTGTAGAATCTTCTTGTATCTTATATGAAGATATGATTTCTTGATTGGCTTCTTATACAGGAGGTGTCACTACACAAGATGCCTTGAAATCGTTTAATTCATGTAAATTGCACAGGTAAATAATTGCTGCACACTTTTGAGTGGAGAGTGTGAGATAATCTTGATGATTGTCTTATGGCCGGTTCTGTTGCCGACTGACAATAATTGAAGAGAACAAATGTATCAACGTACTTACAGCGATATCGTAATTCAATCTGATTCAGCGGTGAGAGGAACACGAATCATGTGGGGCGTGACTCCTTTACTCACCAGCATAAACTATTCTTGATCTGCGAATTACTAGCACTTATTTCTGTGTTGAGTGAATTTTTTGGCTTGGTTTCCTTGGACAATTAATTTCTATTACTTGACCTTTCCCTAGACTGCTCACTCTAACTCTGTGTGATTTGTCTTTTTCGGAAGAAAGGCACTTGGTTGGTTGCCCACGCGGACTACGTGTTCCTGGTGTCCCCCGCGGACAGCCCTTTGGCTGCCCACGCAGACTGCCTATTCCAATAATCCCCCGCGAACAGCCTCTTTTCGCTGCCTTGTTCCCATCTTGAAAGCCTCTTCCATGAGTCCCCACTCAAGGAGCTTCTGATCTTAGTTTTACAATCAGGGCGCACCGCTTTTCGGAGTTATGCTAATTGTACACGCCCTTTTCCCACTTCATAAGAAATTAGGCTTAGACAATGAGAATATCGATGGAGTATCTCTGGCGGCAATGCGTGAAGTGGAATATTTGCCCCTTTCCGGGACTCATCGTGGCGGGGGTGATTTTTGGTCAAGCCTATGGCCTATGCAATCAGCAACATTTGTCGTACTTGACAACAACGCATGCGTATGCCCTTGTGGCATTGAAGGCACACGTGCGACGCAAATGTCGAGAGTCGCGCGTGCCGCGTTTCGGGTTGCAACGAATTCTCAAGAAATGTTTTTCACTCGATTGTTTTCAAATATCTTACGTCTCAAAAATATACTCTTGTAAACAAGCTAGCCGGGTTTTGATGGTAAGTCGCAAGGGTCGTTCATTGCATTAAAAACAATTACTATGTCTTTAATACGAAAAACAAATACAAATAAAGTGGCTGTTTACGAGTTCACAGATGTACAAACCTTTTCGAGTCTCATGCAACCTTTTGGCCGAGACTTTCTTACTTTTTCGTATCCGTTCGATGATTCCCTTTTTATTAGCTGTTGAAGGTTTTTCTAGTAAATATAATTCGAGAGATTTTCTTTTCACTCTCAAACAGGAGCATTCAATTATTAAAATCAGAAATTTTATTGATGTTTTATGGAAGTTTGAATTTTCCTCGATATATCATAAATTTAGATAATTATATATTAAAAGTATTTAATACTGTTCGATTAAATGCCATTATGTGAAAATCTATCTAAGATCGGTCTTTCTACGCTGTATATTTGTTAATGCGCATGTATTATTTAGTAATACTATTATTAAAATAAATACTCTAGTTAAGTCAGTTTAATGAAGCTCTTCGTTATTATGAATCTCAAAGTAAGTTTACATCATTAAATTAAAATGTGCACTTCTAATCAAACCTTTCACAATTAATTGAGCGTAGTAGGTGCTTGAACTATATTTTACTTTCGAATTATGAATTTAACATGGATAACTTGTAAGTGCACCTTTCGAAAAATTGAACATCAATGCACAATATTTTAAATTAGTAGATGTATCTTAATGTTATATTATTTATATCAATTCATGGAAATATTTGTTTTATAAAATTTTATACAAAATCTTTGATTTTATGTGTAGGAATTGATTAGTATTAAGAAAAGTTAAATTGTCATTAATTTTGGGTTGATTATTGGACTTTCTTACACTTATTTTTCAAGTACATTAATTATTTGTTAGATGTTTTTATATAAAAAAGTTGCTTAAGTGAATTATAATGTATTCTTGTCGGAAATTAGAAAATTGAATATTATAAGTGAGCTTATTAATATTTAATATACTAACTGTCTATGTTTTAAATTTTTATTTATTAAAAATAAAATTTATTGAAATAAAAAAATATCCTATTAAAATTTTAATTGCTACATTCAATGAATATGTCTCGTGCCAATTTATTCGACAGACTGTTACATAAAAAATAATCTTCCAATTAGATCAAATCACTTGTTATAATATATAGAAGTACATAATGTTTAATCATTTAAAAACTTTAAACCTTTTATACATATGCGTAGAAAATTTATAATAATAATATTTCGTATAAATTTCGCATAAGTTTCTTCATATGTAATATAATTATATTAGATTGATTAACATTGTGCTACCAAATAGATTCTTATTGCTTCTTTAAAACCATATTTAATGATTATATGCTCCTAATAAAGTTGGAAATTCCTGATAGAAGGAAAAATCTTGAGTTTTGTATATTCTCATTGTTTCAAACGTATACTTAAGTCAATATTAACTACTGTATTATTTTCTCTTTGATGTAACACTTAATCAATGGCGTTCATTCGATTGCTAAGGGAGCGACGAGAATTAATTCAACTAGCAATAAGCATAAGTGCCCAGTATATACATTACCCGAATTGCTAAGTATTTAGTAGGTATCGTCCATCCGTAAAGTCGGCCATTGTGTGCGCCGAATTAACTGTAGATGTACAGATTAGAAACTGGATAGACAACATGGGTATGCGTGTGTTTGTGCGCGCGCGTATTTATGTGCGAGAGAGATAACAAATATGAAATGAGGAGTTGGATAGAGAGACGTGTATATAATAGCATGTATAGAGAAAAACAGTAGGAGCCGGAGAACTGTTTATTGAGGCTTGTTATGCTATTACTACATGTGGATTCGTATGGTCTTTATAATCAAAATATGTAGATACTGATTTGTATATGCTATTAACGATACATATTGTTATTATTATTATTATTATTATTTTTTTTTATAATGAGGACATATAAGTGCTGCGTATATTTTAGTTATCTACTTGGATTTTGCTCGAAATACCGTTTGAAAGTTTTTTTTTTTGTTTACGTTTTAAATCTTGCTTAATTTTTCGTCACATTTATTATCCAGACGAATATGCATTTTATTTTTTCATTTTATTATGCTTTCAGTTCTATTGACAATTTAGTATTTCTGTCTAGAACGTTGTAAGTTAAGAAAATGTTTTTAAATATTTTTATATAATCACCGGCTGTTCGCTACATACATATTTAATGAATAATTTCTACTGTAAAAATACGCGAAATCATTCTACGATTTTGATTGAGATCGACAATCATGGTCACCTGTCTCTTTATTTATGAATTTTATGAATTTATATATTCACTTGTAATGGAATATGATACAGTAAAGGGGCAAATATATAATTTCCCAATAAATATACGTGGTTGCGTATAAACACTTAGGGCGGAAGTAGGGCACTCGACTAATTTTACAAGTAATTCTAAGAATCAATTTAAAAATTAAATTTTAAAAATTAATTTAAAGTTGAAAAGAGTATCTAATCAGTTTGCAAAAAAAAAAGGTGACGTTCGTTAAAAATATGACACTTAAATTTGCAATCGTCAAGTTATTCATCAATCATTATTCTGAGAATTTTTGAATGGTACAACAAATGTGACCGAATGATAATATAATAATAACATTTAGCGAATCGTCCTGAGGTAGGAGCTAAATGTTATTAATCGTCAATTCTCAAGCCCGTAAATTAAAGGCGTAAAAGTATGTCGAACAGTAGCCTCTTCAGAATAAGAAATATGACGGCAAAATAAACGAAGTTAGGCCAATCATAGGGCCCGATGCGCTTTATTTCCATATAAAGCGAATGGCCAGATTGTAGTAGAAATTGCGTTTACAACGTCCATTCCGTTCCGTAGGGCGGAAATAATCGGCCGCATCGAAGTGGTCGATTGGACGCCAAATGCAAGCAAATGTGCAGGTTGGCAGGCAAGCAAGAGACAGGCAAGGCCAGGAGGGCGCAAACACGGAAATCTCCCGAGCCATCCCTTCCTTTGCTTTCAGTTGTCTCTCGAGAGGAGTGCCAGTCGGCGGCGTCGCCGGTGCTTGCCATTGTCGACTCGGAGGGCCTTCCGCAAGAGGCGGCGGCTACAGCCAACGAAACCAAGGCCGATCAACGCCAGCGTCAACAGGGACAGCGTCAACAGTCACTGACGACCTCGGAGTCGCTCGGGTCGCGCAACGTTTGTAGGATATGTCATATGGATTCCTGGCCCAAGGATTCCCTTATTTCCCCCTGTAGGTTCGTATGAATTTCAGTCATCGAGTTTGGAATCGACGCGTACGTTCTCGCTATGTACTCATCGAAAGGTGGGTGGGGGTAATGGTCGGTTGACCCTGCCTTTCCGACTGAATTTATTTATATCGCGTTATTATCTCACGAGGAAATGTTCGATTGAATTAGAAACGAAAAGAAGCTGAAACATGCAAGGGAAGTCAATTAGCATGTAATAAAGAAAATTATATAACTAAAGTTATTCCACGCGATTAGTCTGTGTGCGCGAGATATTTGAAATGTAGGAAAATCGCGTTTGAAAAAGCTTTCAAATTTATTCCATGTTGTTTCATTAGCAGATTAACGGATATTCAAAAATTATTCAAAAATAGATTGAGTACAATTTTGATTTGAAAAATTTGTTTCAATTAATGCTACATATAGGAAACTTCTTTCAATATTTCTGAATTTTAAAAATAATCAAGATTTCATTTGAAAATACAAGTTAAAAATATCCATTCTCAAATGACAGAACAAATTCAGCAGCAATAAAAAAATTAAACCCTTAATTAGTTTCAATTTTCATCAAACTATAAGTTGAAGTTTATCAAGATTATTAAATAGCTATTACCGAGACACGTGTATTTATGTAAAAATAATATAATTTTATCGATGTTTGACATATCAAATATAGAAATTTAGTTTATTTTCTAGTTAATACAACACCTAACGAATTGATGTATCAATTAGTTTTATATATTTTGCATTTATATTAACACACATAAATACATATACGCATATCTCTCTCTCTCTCTCTCTCTCTCTCTCTCTCTCTGTCTGTCTGTCTGTGTGTGTGTATGTGTGTGTATGTGTGTGTAATTCTGGGCACGATACATCCATCATTATAGGCACCAAATTATTTATGGATATTGAATAAATTTCTAATAATATTTACTCTTTCTAATTCTCCAGCTCAAATCGATAAATTATCGTTATTCATATCAATATTTTTTGGCTTATCAATATTTTCTGCAGTTACTCTGTACCTTTTCATTTGATTTCACATTATTCTGAATGTAACTTTTTCAATAGAGATTAATCGTTCAAATGTTTATGATGAAATATATGATTTTAAAGTAATTATATTCTTTATTGATATTTAGAAATATGTATGGTATTCCATAATTTTATATAATCTTGCTATGCATACTTCATAGTTATAATTTCGTTACGTAATTAATAATTTATTTATATTCGTGACCACTAGAACAATTCAATTTTCCTTACTTTTTACTATGGCATAATAAAATATGTATTTTAAATAAAAATATAAAATTTCTTTTTATTTAAATATAACTCATAAAATAATCTTTATTGAAAAACGTGATAAATAGAAAATAGGGGCCATAGAATGGAAAGATTTTTTATTCCATAAAAAAAAAAAATGCAGCGAAAAATGAAGTTGGATTTTCTTTATTTCGTGTATTTTATTTTTCAATAATGGACAAATACGCACTATTTTTATTAATAACTTCAATCATAATATAAACAGTTTTTATGCAATTTTCAATCAACTGAAGTAAGTATCGAATTTTATATAAGACTAATAAAAAAATTTAAGAATAAATATTAAAATAAATTAATGAAATTATAATATGCTATAATATTATATAACTTATAATTTTCATGACTTTATATTACAAACATACAATACTAATGAAAATATAACATTGTGATTTCGAACGCTTAATTAAATTAAAAGAAAAATAAATTAAAAGAATACAGAATTATTAAACAAAAAAAAAAAAAAAAAAAAATAGTACCAGTTCATTACAAATGGCTAAAGTAATAATAAATATAATACTATAGGATTGATAAAAATAAAAATATCTTGAATATTTCAAATTTGTATGAAATAAGGATATTTATTTAAAATAATGTTTCTACTCGTGAATTAATTTGTTTTAATATTTTACAGAAAATATCAGTTACATGATATTTTATTATTGAAATACATATAGATTAATTTATAAACAAACTTTACACAATAAAATTAGAAAATACTATAATAGAATTTTTTATAATGTATTATTATAATAAATTTTTTGACATACCAAAATTTGATAAATATTTTTTTACTCATTTAATTTTATTCATTGTCTTTTAAGTTATTTAAAGTGTTTGACAAATGATTTAAATCAATATTTGCCTTTAATTTTTAGTGATTTTAATGTAAAAATGTCAGATAAGAACATTTTTCATAAGGGACGAGCGTTGATCATACATAGAATTAAAAAGGTTTCATATATATGTTCTTTTATAATCAATTTATGATCGCAATAGAAATATTTTTTATAGTAAACATTAACTGGAAATTATATTAAAATTCGTATGATATAGAAAACCAAGTAATATTCACAGATTATTCAATTTACCATCGAGTATACTAAAATTTTTATATGAATTTACTTTAACTTTGTTATAACAAAGAATTTCCATTTTATATATTTCTGTAATTATTAATTAATTTTAAAATTACATCATCTTTCACACTATGGAATTTGTTTGAAAATTTTATTCGAATTTTACTTTCGGACATTCATCAAATTATTATTTTTATACTTTAATTTACATATTTTTTGGATAAATTGTTGTAATAAGTAAGTTTTAATAAGAACATTTGAATGTTATCATGACATTTAAAACAATAATTTTACGTAATATAAACTTGATATAATGTCGTCTGAATGATTCTCTATGGAACATCATGTTACATTGACATGTTTTTGAGATATTAAATTAATATAAGGCGTATAAGGTGTTTGAGGTATTGATAGAATAATATCGTACCAAGAAAATACATTAGAAATTAAAATATGTTTAAAAGAAAAGTAAATATATGATATATGGGCTGTCTATTTTGCATTATTCCACTACATTGATATTCTGAAATAAAATTTTAATTAGGTATGGTTAATTTTTAATACTTTCGTTTATAATTAAATTAGTTTGCAAAATCAATGAAAAGTATAAAGTATATTTTTAAATAATCAATATTTATAAATGGAATTAATTATTCGACTCGATTTATGATTTATATAATATTTTTATGCATATTGTCTATATAAAGTACAACTTGAAATACTAAAAAAATGCATAGTCATAAATAAGAAAATAAATTAATTATATATCATTGTAATATTTGTTAATTTAATTAATCATATACCAATCATACGTTTATGAACATTTATAATTTATGATATTTACAGTGAAATTAAATTTATTTCTTATTAGATATTTTTATTTCAAATATGAATCGCTTAATATGATTTATACTTTAAGACAAAATGAACTAATTACATCCAGTGGTATATGAAGTATATAATAGATTTAATATTTTATTCTTATAGATTTATTAATATTAGGACAAAAACGTATGAACACTCTATGAAGTTGAAAGATTTCAGTTGAAAGAAATTGTATAGTTTGGATAGTTAAAACTTTCTTTTACTTTTAAGTTTTAATCTTAGTACAGTGCGGATATTTGGAAAAGAAGTTGTTTAAACATGGTATATAGTTATTTGAAAATTTACTATATAATAATGTAAATATTCATTTAATAATTGTTAAATCAATAATTTTTACACAATATTTTATAAAGATTTCGAGATTAGATTTGAGATTAGATTATTATGTAAATACAGTATTATGTAAATAATATTGAGTTATATGTAAATATCGGAGAGTAATAGAAAATTAGAAAGAGAGCACGATATGGGGCTCGCTTTTCAAAGTTCTACTTGGTACTTCGCACGCGCCAACATGGATCTCTAGATCTTAGCTTACGAATTCACTCGAAGCAAGTACATTTAACGTTAAGACGACAGTAGTTAGTATCTAACGTAGGCTTCACGTTTGACGATCGTCAAGTGTTATTGTTCGTGCAATCAAAAAAATCACATCCCACGTATGTAGCATAATTTATATTAGTAGATAATAGTGATTTTTATAGATGATGATAAAATCAGGGATATAGAGTAGTAGCGATCAATTATAGTTAAGAGATTGAATATAGTTAAGCTTTTTTCATTACATCACTTATATTCGTTTATATTTTAACTGATCATTGTCAAACGAATTTTATACTAAAATTGATACAAACAACATCGATTAGAATAAAAATTAATTTAATATATTAATTTACCAAGAGTATTCACGTTTAATTCAATTTCAGAGTCCTTTCTATCAGTCTTTAGTACTTTCATTGCGTACGTAACGTCAAACGATTATGCTACTTTATAATTATTCTTTATTGTTCGACATATATATATATATATATATATATATCGACTTCCATATATAAGTCTACGTGTAAACTCGTGTATACTACGTTTATAATATTTCTATATTATGTATAAAAATATCTAAATAACCAAAATACCATGCTGTATTTAACATCAGGTTGTAACAATAATAAACGCAAAGAGAAAATGTTTAAGTAGAATATTCCTCACCATTTGGTCGGTGATTCATTGTTTACTTCAGCCTTAAAGCACCTCATTTTTTATCCCTCTTCTTCAAGTGCATTATTTTTCTTCGATTCACCTCTTCGCACTGCGGTGTCGTACTTCTATACAGTATATCGCTGTAATTTTACTTCTTCGTACTTCTCCTTTTTCTTCTTAATACAGACTCTTAAGCGGTGAACCACTTACTTATGTCACTTGGAATTTCTCTTTTACTTTCTTTTTGGCTCCCACTTCTTTTACGTTCTCTACCTTACATAAAGAGAATTCTTGCCCTTTCATTTTTTTTTTCATTCCACGCTTTCACGCGTCATTTCTCATTCTCTCACGACATTTCATGTTCTTTGAAGTAAACGTTATTTGTTGTGATATATACATAGCCTATATAGTATTAAAGACAGCAACGATACTGTTGAGCTTTCTTTAAAAGAAAGACGAGAAAGCAAGAAGGAAAATCACGTTTTCTACAACGAATTCACCGAAACATAGTTTTCATGCTTTTGTTATTGCAACGCAGATGGGATTTTATGCTCGTTAAAGAAACATAAAGATTCTATTAATCATCACTGGTGCAAAGATTAAAAGTTGAATGTTTTAACAACCTGATTTGTGCTTCTTATTGTTCAATAGAATTGAAAAAATTTTGTTATTAAACAAATAAGTATAAATAAATTGTATTTCTAAAAGATTGTTTGAGCAGTTTGGCTAAATTTCGTTCAGAACTAAAATTTGATGTAATTAAAATTTTTCAACAATACATTTTATTAATTCTTACTTTATTAATATAAAAATTCTAAAACTTTACTTGCAACTACTAAATTATTTAAAAATTTTTTTATAAATTTTAAAATAACTTTTATAAAAATAGGAATCTAGTCACGGAAATATAGTTTAGTATTTACTTATTTTTTTTAATATTTAATTTCGTAATTATTTTCTGCATTACAAGATTTATTTAAAATAATTAATTAATTAATTAATCGTAAAAAACTATTTATAAAATAATAAAAAATCTACATACAATATATTGAAATGCTTTACATATATATATATATATATATATATATATATATATATTGCTTTGTGTGTGTGTGTGTGTGTGTGTGTGTGTGTGTAAAATATGGAATCAAGAGATAACTTAGATTAGAAAAAAAAAATGACTGAAAATTCTCAAAATGAAAACATTGATTTGAATAAAGTAAATCTACATTTTTGTGAACTTGAATTTTATATTTTCAGTGCTTTCTTTATTTTCCATTTTATTTTATTTTAAAATAAAATTCAATCACGATATTTGCTAAAGTTTATTTCATCGCAACTGTATTATACAAAATTAATCATATAATAACACTTACATACGTTATTGTTAAAGTAAATCTATGTATTTTTGTATTTAAAACATACTGAAATAAGTTTCAAAAAAGTCAAAAATTCTGTGCATACAGAAAATAATCCACCTACGTTTGAAATGATATAATAATATATCGCAAGAAATTTATACACGCATACGTATGCAAATGCATATTTTCAGAATTCTATAGACAAAGTCGCATTTTATCCTTTCAGTTGATTCTTTCAAATATATTTCAAATGGATAATAGCATTGAACATATTAGCTTAACATTTTTTCATATATGGAGGAAAAATTGAAATTTTAATGGTAAAACTTTGAAATGCATTTCAATTAAATAATCTTCATTCGATTGCGAGTTCTTCCATGATTTTGTATGTTCATATTATTCATGGTTATTTAAAAAAAAATGTATTATTTTTATAAATTACAAAAACAATTAATTAAACTACTAGTTTCTCGATAATTTTGGCATAAATAAAACACTATATTTTGTGTATTTTGAGAAATTTATATTTTGATCGAGGCAAACATTTCAATTATCGGATTAAATCGAATTAAAAAATTACGCGGTAAATATAAATAATTATAAGAAAATTCTAAAAAATAAAAATTTAATATTTTCTTATTTGTTCATTTTTATAATGTAAATTTAAATATAATTTGATATTGTATCTATCATAAATTGTATGAAACAAAATAACTGTAGAAAGCGAATAAACAGTTTGTAGATTCTACAAATTACGTTTTCTCTATAATTGAAGGAAAATTAAACGGAGGTATAATATTTTGATCTGAATAGCAATTATAATTATTAAACTTACTTATTATATTCAAAAGCATTAGGAAGTATTATTTTTCGTATACTTGTTATTCTTAAATAATAATTTCAATTTTATATATATGTATATATTCATTATGTATTTTTTTCAATTTTCTCAATATCTGCAACGTAACCCTATAAACTTTAAAAATCGTCGGTATTTTATCATTCACTTACTATTACTACTACTATAAATATATTAATTTCCATAAGTCACTTGACTCCTACTATCTCTGTTACAAAATGCATTTCTTCTAATGTTGACTTAAGCCCTTCCCCTAATAAAGTTACACCTCTAAATTTACAATAATAAGCTCTTTTCTTTTCTACATTCTCTTTTATGGGCACTCTCACAGACATGATTCGAAAGTAAATTTTTTGTTTCAAGATGCAAGGGAACTCTGGCTCACGTGCACCTATCGTGCCTGGAGCGATGGCTGAACCAATCCTCCCGTAACTACTGCGAGCTCTGCAACTTTCGCTACAACGCACTCGAGACGCCGCGTTATAGATGGTTTGCTGAACTTTCAATAATTGACGGGTTTAAGCGCCCAACCAACTTATCGAATTAAGCCAAGTGTGAAAACTTTAAGATCTTTATTATTCATTTATTTCCTTTTGCAGGTTTGAAGCGCTTAGAATCTGGATAAACCATCCTCGTAATCGCAGAAATATCCGAGCGGATATTTTGATATTTACCTTTCTGACCGTATTCACTGCAGGACTGTCTAGCGTTTGTTTACTAGGTTATAAAACTATTGATTTTGTAACACTTAGCGTTAACATTTTGCAATTATTATTTATTCATAACAGTGACTAATACAGATATTTAAAAAATAAGATCTTGTATTAAGAAAAAAAAGAAAGAAAAAAAAGTTCATTACTTTGTTACAAAATGAACTTTCTTCCAAGTTATATGGTATGTTATTGATGAAAAAATTCATAAAATACAGAAAGAAAAAAAAATGTTATATAAATTTTATATATATTTAACTCAAAATAAGTTATGAAAATACGAATTTTTTAATTTCAATAAAATGATAGAAATTTTATATATAATCGATTAGTAAATTAGTAAATTTAGTATTAGTAAATTAGGAATAAAACTATAAATTAGTAAAAATTACAATAATTCCTATTTCAATTGATTAGCGATTACAATATTTTTTAATTAAGAATGTCAAATGTCTTCGTAACCATATCAGATTAAAAATTTAGTCGTCTTAAAATTAAGTAAATTTCTTCTTTTAAATTATTATCCCGAACTTTTACAAATGATAATAAAAAAATAATTATTAACTACTTAATTTTCCACTTGACATATTTAAATTTGAATATTATTAATTCTTTCCTTCTGAATAAAAAACAGTTTAACTCTATATAACTGTTACATAAGCATTTTCACTTGTTATGTACAGAGTGCAGTACTCATAAATGATTAATTATTAAAAATTGGGTTAATATCAGAACTAATAATATTTTCAACAGAATAAATAAAAAAAATGAGACAATTCAAGCACTGTAACCTTATAAAATATAATCAACTTATTAATATCAATAATGAAAATAGATGTGAATAATTAAAAATTTCTTTATTAAAATATAAAATGAATATCTAGATGCATTATAGTAAAATATTTTTTTTTTAATTCATTTGATTTCAGAATATGTAATATATATTATACAAATATAAGTTTTACTAATTAATTTGTTGGATTATTGTTATTATTTTCATTTAAAATATCTAATTCATTATTGTTCAGGAATAATTGAAATTGAATGAAAACTTAGAACTAAATAGGATAATTGGCGTTTGCTAATAAAATCGAAAGTTCGCTGATTAATTATTATTTACAATTTTTATTTAATATATGTAAAGAAAGGTATTTTTGGTATCAATGTTGTATATAAATTTGTTAATAATATTTCCTAAATTCATCAATAAATTTAAAATATAATTTTTTTTTTTTTACGGAATATAAAAAAATTTCTTTTAGCGCGTTAACATCTGAGATTTAAACATTTTTCAAAATTATATTATTATTCCTGTCTTTCATGCAAATTAAAAACTAATATACGTGGAAAATTTTAATTACTCTATAATTTTGCTCATGTGACATGCATAGCTTATATAAACGGTTATAATTCATCTCATTAAACAATAACATTATACGTGTTAGTGAATTTTCAATTCAGACTGTCCCATTATTCAACATCCCATAGTTTGCTTTACTCCCGATACTGAGGTTAGATTTTCTATTATCTTAGCGTTATATTAAAAAAAAAAAAAAAAAAAAAGAAAAATAAATAATAAAAGTGTTATTACAAATTCAAGCTTTCATGACACGTTTTCAATTATTTTTAAATAAAGTCAGAAAAATATTGCCAATCATGAAAATATATTTCAATAAAATACACATAGATATTATATATATTGAGAAATATATGCAGTTGCATTTCATTTTTTTAAATTAAGAAGATAATGCGACAGTATTTTATATGAAAATAATCTCATTTAGTGTTTATAAACTTTTTTCTTTTTCTTTTTTTTTTTTTTCCTTTTAGAATATAACAATTATTTTCATAAATATTTTATCAGCCTACATATGCACGTGTTTGCCCTGTGTACGTGCACACGTACGTAGATACGTGTACATATGGAAAATTTTAATTTTAAATTTTAGTTGAAAGTAAATACTAACTTTTATATTTCAAATATTGTTGTATGTAAGAAAAAAAATATGTATATATAAATTCGTAAAATATTTAATACCAAGAATTTTCTAATTCTAGGTGTTTAATCGAAAATTAATTCTTTTAGGATCACATTATTTATTTCCGAAAAAGGCTAGAGTCGGCTTTTCTGAAGCTTGGACAAAAGGAGCAATCACCCTTTTCATGATAATTGTCATCTTGGGATACCTTACGTCGATTTATCTTCTCATAAGGGTAAGTTTTACTAAAATGAAAGAATTGATTACAGAAAAAGATTGAATTACGATTGATACGTAGTTACACGACCATATTTTTAAATCTAAAAAATCTTTTATCATTTGCTATGTAATTTTCAGAAGTATTAGGTAAAATATGAAGTTTAAGGAAATCTTTAGGGTAGATCATAATGCATAAGACATTCATTTACTTTATATGGTAATAGTGAAACTAAAATTTTATTCATATGCGATCATTAGAATTTTATTTTATGACTCATACGATCTGATCAACTCGACAAGGAATTGCATTTGAATTTTAAATAAAATCTTATTTGAATTCTACCCATCAGAGTAAAGTGATTTCTGCTTTATTTTTTTAGTAAATTCCCATATTCTCATTCTTGCATCACAAATCGAATTATCAAGTTACTATTTGCGGCTCACATATACTTGAGAAAATTTTGGATAAGCAGACGAGATTAAAGATTAAATATCATTGAAGTATAGTATCATTTAGACTTTTGTCTCATTTGCTTTTATTATTATTATGACTCACTCATATCTTGTTACATCATTTGCAATTTTTTTTACTTATTATATTATTATATTTTATTATATTATTTTTAGAGAAAGAGAGAGAGAGAGAGAGAGAGAGTGTGTGTGTGTATTATTTAGATAAATAATAATTATTATATTACATCTATTTTATCCATTATCAATGTTTACTTAATATTAGTGGAAATTTTCTAGTAAAATTATATAAAAATCTCTGGTATTATATATATATATATATATATATATATAATTTAAATATTTATTAATTAGTATTTTAATATATATGTAATTCCTATTCATCAAATTTCTCTTCATAACTAATTTTTTTTTTTATAATAAATTTAGTCTCATAAATTAAAAAATTAATGCATCATTTAATTGTATTTAATTTTTATAAAAATTGTCTTTTCGATAAAAAAAAAATGCCCTAAATTTTCATTCGTTATTTCATAAATTGGATAAAACAAAATCAGTATACAACAATATAGAGATTACACAGTGAATTTGATGTTAAGAAAAATTATGAAAATTTATTTCAACGTACAAAACTTTCAATCCAATTTACAATACACAATGAACATATAAATACTCACAATTGTGAAAGTATTTACATGCAATCTCAATTAGCTGCTACTACTTCACCATGCAATATCACAAGTTGCATTGTAGCGATGTTTCTCTTGCATTGCAAAATAGATGCTAACCTCTCGAACTTTTGTAAGGGAAATGTCGTAGTGATTAATGCATAGTATTTTATTAAAAATTTTCAACACTATTTCAAACAATCAACATAATTGTAATGTGACATTATGGAAAGATTTCTTTAATGAATAGACTTATTTCCGTTTTTCATAAAGTGTTAATAATAAAGTGTTATATGGATAAACAAAACGAAATTGCATTACTTTATACAGAAAACTCGAATTTTTTAATAGAAAACAGGTATTTACTGTTTATCCTTAATCGTAATTACAAATACCAATATCTTAAAATATATATAGTATATATTTAGATTATCTGTTGATTAACAAAATTACGATTTTATAATATAATTTGACTATTGCTGACTTTTAATTTTAATTAATTGTATTAACGATAAAAATTGTTCATCTATTCCATAAAGAATATTTACTATGTTTTTGGATATTTCTCATATTATTCATCCTCTAATAATAAAGTGTTTAAGGAAAAAAAATCAAATATTAGAAAATCTAATACACATACATATTATTACACTTTTTAAATATTATTTTAGTTTATTTGCTGCTTAACCAGCAATATTATAATAGCTAAGCTAAAGTTGATTAAATGTTACGTTTCAATTTCATTATTTCAATACTGGCCAGTACATACTTTGAAATGTAAATAAATTGAATAAATGTAAAATTTTTATAAAGTTTGTTAATTCATCATAATAAGTTTCCTTAAATTTAAAATATGAAAAGTAGACGTGAAATAAATTTTATGTAAATTTATATTAGATATGAAATTGATATAATTTTTATTAAACGTATTCGAGAAAAATGCTATATAGGTGCTATAATATCTTATATTTAAAGTGGTTTTATATGACTTCTCGTGCATGCGATAAAGTAATTTGCCGGATGGGTAATTATTCGAGAATGAGATACGTTGAATTTCTGACGTCTACATTTGTCCTATACTGTTGTTGCTTATATACATTGCGAATAACTACGAAGAAGAGAAAGCTCGAGAGTGCGTGCAGATAGTATGAAGGTAATAATAGTTTGTATAGTTAAGTTACCTGTACGAATATCGCTGTCTCCACTTTAGCAGATTTAAAGTGCTGTTATTACAATTTAAAGCAGGACTCTATTTATTATTATGTATATGTGGTATTAGATATTTAGAATGAGGGAAAAAAAAATTTATCTTAATTGCAAAATGCAAATATTAATTTTTGCAAAAAAATTATCACCATTGACGTGTAGATCTAGAGATACGAGGGAAAAATGATTTTTACTCTTGATAGAAATTTAATTTCATTTTATAAAACTTTTAATGCAGAATAGAGACAATGAGTTTAATTCTATATTATCTATATTTTTAATTTTGCAAAGAAGTAAATGTTTCAATACATATTTAAACATAATATTTTCATGAAAATATTACATAATGAAATGCAACGAATAATCATGTAGATATTAAAAAACAATTCAAGTATTTTATACGAAAATTAATGAAAATATTGGAATAGATTTTACAAATATTTCTATATTCGTCAAGGCAAAGCTCGTTCTAATGTAATGTCGTTGAATTTGTTGCTTCTACTTATTTTTCTTTATAGCTTTAGTTAGGGATTATAAAAACCTGACTTTCTATTTAGTTCTGTTGTCGTATCCCGCAACTTAAAAGAAACGTGTCAAAATAAAATTTTGCAAAGGTATATTTTAACATTCTTTTTGCTCACAGGCGCCTTCGTAAATGAAAATGACTTTCAAACATATAAGCCGCTGCTGTGCCCCACCACTTAATTCATTCAGGTAAAGTAAAAGCGTTGACACGTCGTATCATCCTGACTTTATTTGCACATGAGCAAGTGTTCTCGAGATTAAAAATCCGTATTTTTGTGGATGCTTGTATAACTTCTATGAATACTTTTATAGTTTAAATATAAATATTTTTGTAAAAGTTTTGAATACTAGCAGACAAAATGTTAGCACTCAGTAAAAAATTTCAATAACAATTTTATAATCAAATGAACAACGTTTAATATACATTAAAAATAAATGTATTAATCATGACATTTAGAAGAATACTTTTAATAAATATTATTGTTTTATTTTATTCTCTTTTAACAAAATTCTTTTAAAATTTTAAAATGAATAATCTTCTAAAATTCAAACTAAAGTTTTAGAAAAATATTGAAAAGCTGCAATATTAAATATATATATATATATATATATATATATATATATATATATATATATATGTATGTATGTATTTATTTATTTATTTATATATACTAATATTATGAACTTAACATTAAGAAATTTATCACTTTATCTTCGCCAAAACTTTATAGTTCTTAAGTAAACTTAGCTTGCATAGAAATGTACATTTCCAATTAAAATTTATTTTTAAATTATTGTCTTTAATTTCTCATTGTAGGCACAATATTTCAATATTTAAAAAATATTAAAAAGTATTTGTTTATTTAATTTTAATATATAAACAAATGCTTTATTCTTTTTAAAAACAACTAAGTATTTATAAACTTTAAATACATTTTATAATTAAAGCAAATTGAATAATTTATCCAATGAAATAAATTTTTAATAAAAGACAATTCTTAATTGATAAAAAAATTATTGACTAAAAATATTATAGTTACAAAAATCTCTTTAAAAAGAATCATATCGTACTTTGAACAATGTTAGTAAAGACTGCTTAGCAATATTGATTATTTTTGAGCGGTAAATAAGAAAGTTGATTGATAGAGACAGAGATGGTGGCAGAGATGAAGAGAGGGCAAAGAAAGAGTAAAATATAGAGTAAAAAATAGGCGAAAGGAAGAAGAATAAAGAAGAACGGAATGATAAAGAGAGAGTGAGAGAGAGGAATATAGACTAATGAACCTTGGCGTGTGTATGCTTACACAATGCTCTTTTCATGTCATCCTCACCCCTCTTTATCTTATCGCTTACTCAGCCTCTACCTCTTCCTCATTCTAGTGTGCTCTCTATCATTTTCCGATTTTCCTCCTATCCTTCTTTCTATATATCTGTCGTAATCATTTTCTCTTCCTCTTTCATATAGAAGGCTACACATTTGCTGAAACATACATAAATGCTCCCACGAATCTTCGACTCGCGAAGCGCAGTTTAGCTAGAGAACGATTAATTCGAAGCGCAATCGTATTCAATGTGTCTATTGCTTTAATTAAACGAAAATCAATTAAACGTGAGATCGGGAAATGGAGAAGCGAGGGAATAAACTTGGACGGTAGGCAATGGGGCGCCGTGCCGTAAAGCGGCTATGACATACGTTTGATTTATGTTTTCCCGAGAATCTATGACTTCTATAATTGATCAAGAAAGACAGTGTTACATAAGCAGGGCCGCATAATTTCATTAAATTTAGATTAAATTTATTCAAAGTATCTCAATGACATATTTAGCTTATATATATATATATATATAATTTGGGTATCGGTTAAAGAAAAATTATCTACTATTTATACATACATATATGTGAATTAATCATTAAAATAGATTTCCAATCATACCTAATTCTAACCTACTTGAACAATTATAATAAAGGTTATTGTTGATAATTTTAATAAAATTTATCTTAGAAAATTAACATGTTAAAGACCTGATTTTTAAATAAACTTATATATAACTTATATAAACATATAAATGTTTACTTTTTTTTTTAATTGTAAAGAAATATATTGTTTTAATCTTAAATTATTGTATAAATTAGGCAATTAATTAG